AGCTTTACCTTTATGCACATCCAGACAGATATCGGAAAGGTAAGAACAGTGAAGAAAAACGAAACAATCACGAGGATCCATCCACATGCACCAAGGCCAGTATCAGAGTCCTCTGGAAGAGAGAGGTAGGTATTTTAAATAAGAAGACTATCCATTATAGAAAACAATTGCCACATAAAGATACAATGACATGGCCTTAGCATGAAATCATCATCAGGGCTTTTCCCTGGATCTAATCCCCTGCTCACTGGAACTAGACTATATTGGCAGACCAAACTCTGTTTTCTCTTCCGCTGAAATCACCAAGTTGCCAAAGTACAGCCAAGAGTAGAATTTGGTTCAGTAAATGAAAACATAATTGAAGTACGCTGCCTTCAGACCTGTACCTGCAAAGGGTAAGAGATTTAAAATTTAAAACACTGCAATATTTTACACAAATCAACGTTTTTTTTCTGTACCAGGAAAGACTACAGGGCAGTAGCCGAAAACTATTTTCCAGGCTGGAAACCACAGCTTTGTTTGCCCAACTACTGTTCGAATACCAGCAGCAACTAGAAAAACTTCTGTCATTTAAACACTCAATTCTAACTAATTTGGCAGAGATGCAAAAATCTCACAGCTGCCTGAAATGCACATGCAGACACTGGCAAAATCAGTCTCGGCTTTCTATCTTATAACCAAGGTTCATAAAAGGGATGAGAGAAGGTGCTTGGATGGCTCACGACCACTCAGACAAGAACATAAGGGCATCTTTGTCTAGCAGTTTCCTCTGAAGGATCCTTCTGCTCTGAACAGAGCACAAGACAGTCCTCTGTCATCAAATGGCTGCTACATCGCTCAATCATGCACCACAGCAAGACTTCCTGGAGCAAAACAAGTCATTTCAAATCATGCACAGCTAGAAGAGCCTGCAAAGCACCATGATATGGTGATGTTGAACTATCGAGCATTCATAGAGAGAAACTAGATCCTCATGAAGAGGAAGTTTCTTTTCCTCCCAGCCTAGATTTTCCTGTGATGGCCAAGAGTCTTTGCTGCCAAGCACGGCGTTCCCAGGGTGACACTAATAACTGCCAAATGCTGCAACTTGTAAGGGAGGTTGAAACCACCAGACCATTGATACTCAACCCCTGTAAA